TACCTAGATTTTAGGTTGCAAGTCAGATTTTGGATTGCAACCCAAATTTTAGGTTGGAAACCTATTTTAAAGTTGGAAATATGTGTTATGAATTTTTCTATGTAAATCTGTGGCATCTCTTAATTAGTACATGTCTAGAATAACATGAAATAAATGAGTAAGAACACTCATTTAAGAATAAAAGTGATTGGGAAACCCTCCTTGTTGAAAGATAAAAATACACTTAGGTGTTAAAGAAATTAATTGGTGAAAGTCCTGAGATACCTTGAAGGAAAAATAATTAAAGTACTAATGATATGATCAAAGAACAAAAGCCTTTAAGTCATAAATTACATGGAATAGACTTATAAATGGTTAAAGTAATCGTTGGAGATGAAAATGACCAAAATATCCTTGTGTACCTAAATGATCAAAATATAACAGTTTAATGAGGTGGTAAATGTCTTGTGAACTTTATAAATGATAAAAGGTATATTCTCGCGATGCATAAATGGTTGTCATGTTGTCTGACTTAATGCACGATGTTAAGGAGGCTTGAGGTAAGATATCCTATTTATTCCTATTGATGGTTGATTACACCGAGATAAGTGCATTGCATATATCTTGATATTGTTATTGCCCAAGTAAACTAGTTAGAGGTCGTTGGTACAATGGCATGCCTAGTGTCTAGTTGTTGCATCTTGGTCTCTCGAGATCGCTCACCTTAGCGGAGCAACTCCGTGATGATATTAACACTTTGGTGCGTTTGGACCTATAGGTTCGTCTACCATAGCAGAGCGATTCTATGTCGGTATGAAACTTTGGCCTACGTCACCTAGATAGACCTCTATTAGAGTTTACTTTGGGTATCCTTATAATATTTCATGACAATACATAAATATTGATGTTTCTATGTATGATATATATGCATTGATTACTAATGATTATAAGCATGATATACATGTGCTTGCTACTGATTATTATGAGCATTATATACATGTATTTGGTACTGATGATTATATGCATGATATACACACGCTTGCTAATGATGATTATATACATGATATATATGTGCTTACTGCTAATGATTATATGCATGATATGTGCGCGCTACTGATTATTATAAGCATAATATACATGTGTTGGTTACTAATGATTATATGCATGATCTTTTACCCATGTCGATGATATGATTAAATATGTTAATATAGACAAGACAATTGTCAGATAAACCTTTAATGATGAGACTATTATAATGGATCAGAGGAATATCCTAGATTGGATAATTACATTGTCTACTACATAATGAACTTAGAGTTATTAAAATCATGAATATGATAGAATGTGTAAGGTAATCTGATGAGAAAAGACATGGTGTCCTTTAGACTTTGGGTAAGTATAATGAACCCGACTGATAATGATAAGACTATGAGAATCATTTAATAATGACTTAAGATCATAAATGTCTAGTAGGCTAAATTTATGAGACTCTTGAAATATATTAGAGTCGATGTGTACTCATTGGGCTTAATAGCTCACTCTTTTAATTATTACCTTACAAGTTTAGGTTTAGGAGGTCACGATGGGACAACGATTTTATGAGAGGAGTCTTAGTGGGAGTATCAGAGTACGCCGATGAGGACTTTAAGTTGGCATGTAAAGATTATAAATTTATTCGAGTTGGTTGTAAATTGTTTATTACGTATTTTAGTTTTCAAATGAAGGAGCTCTGCCCTTTTTAAATGTTTATTTTCTTTCAATAATGACATTATTGGTTTTTAACTCTTTAAATAAATTATGATTTTCTGAGTCTAACTCATAGGATCACTTCGGTGGTTCAATATGACACCGTCGACTCGGATTTGGTTTAGGGGTTGGGTTATGGGTGTTACATAAATCATTCGGCGTAATCATTTACTTTTGATCCATGTTTTATGTTTAGAAGAAACATTTCACATTTTAATTTGTGCAATGTATTTTTTGTAAAATTCTTCAGAAATAATTTTATGTTAGGCTCAAAATTATTATTTTAACTTTTACCAGTTAAAAAATATAAATTTATAAATTATGATTTACGGTTGACTGCAAAGATTATCACTTATGTTTGTGCTTTGTCCACTTTTGATCATTGATTTAAAAAAAAACATAAGATATGTTCACTTTCGTTTTTATTTAATTAAGATACAGTCACTTTCATTTTTATTTAATTAAGATATAGTCATTACGAGTTAACTGTTGTTAACAATTAACATAATATGTGACGTGATAGTTGGTATAATCACACATTTGGACTCTATCATTTACATATTCTCTTAATTTAGTCATACTTTTAAATAAATTTTAACATAAAATATATAATTTTAAATAAAAATAAAAATAAAATACTTTTCAATAAAATATTCTCCCAACTTGTTTTCCTTTGTTTTCTTTCAACCAAAAGGTGACATATATCACTCTTTGATTGGTAAAAATAAATATATTAAATTAAAAATAAAGTTATTTCTCCAACTGAATTGTGAAATGTGGTATTAGGGGAGAGCAAAACTCGACTTGACTCGAAAAACTAATTTTTTTTACTCAACTCGGCTCGTGAAAACTCGAATTGAATTAACTTCGAGTTGTAATTTCATAAACTCGACTCAAAAAAATTCAAGTTCAAACCGAGTTGTATCTCGAATAACTCAAAGATTTTAGTAATTAGTGGATTGATTTTCAAGTTTGAGTTGAGTCACTCGACTCTATATCATAAATTTATATCACATATGAAAAAAATTGAAAAAAAATACACATGTATTATATATGGTTATAAAAGACCATTTAAATTGGAATAAAAAAATATCATAATATTATAAATATTTATAATTAAATTTCAAAAGAAACTCGAAAATTTAACTCAACTTGAAAAATTTTCAAGTCAACTTCGAGTTGTAAAATAAGAATCATCAACTCGAATAACTTGAATTTTTTTCACTCATACTTATAGTTACGAATGTGAAATGCATAAGCCCTATATTTAACAAGTGAACATAATTATTCATATCATATATTTATATAAGAAAGTGAAGAAATTATTAATAATTATATTAACGAAATAAATTAAATAATAAACTTAGGGTGGATTAGTCTAACTATTAAATGCACTCATTATGTATATAATGTTTTTTTTAATTTTTGAAAATAAAAGCTCTTCTTAAAAGCTAGGAAGTAAATTCAAACGATGAAATATCTTATAGATTAGTTTTTTAATATAACCTCTTAATTTGATAATAAAAAAGTGATTCAAAAGGGTATTGTTATAAGAATTAATCTACAATGGGTGTTATAATGATAATAAACTAATAATTACATGATATTTGGGTAAAGAGCCCAGTTTGATAATAGAATACGAGGAACAGTGGACGGAATGCCATTGAAAAAGTAGGAAAATTGCTAATTTGGAAGGTTTTGCATTCATGAATAGCCATTTTTCTCTACTGAGTTACTCTATTTTTTATGGGTTATTGTTTCTGATAGTGAAAATAAAGAGTTATTATTTCTGGTAGTGAAAACCAAAGAGATATCCATGCTCCAATAAGGGGAAACGGTGAACAGTTTGAGCTTAGGGTTTTAATTGACTTTCGGGGTGCGTTTGGATGGGTATGTGAGATTACCAGAGTGAATATTTTTTTTCAGAATGTGATTTTTCTGTTTGGATTGCAAATATTTCCAACCCCGGTAATAAGTTATTCCCGACAATGATATTTTGGGGGTTTATTATCGGGAATGTGATTCTCTCAATCTCTTAGGTATTGTTACATTTCTGACGTTTTGGACTAAAATGCCCTTAACATAATTTTTTTTCAAAAATATCCTTTTGTCGTTGAATAAAAAACATTCTACGAAGGTTAAATTGTAAATTTATCCTTAAACTATTTTAGATTTTAAAAAAATTCCCATAATTAGAAATTTATATGAAGTCCATGTGTTAAAATAAAATTAAACTCTTTCATTAAACCTATTTATCTTTTAAATTTTGTAAAAAAATTATATAAATTTTATGAATTTAAATTTTTTAAAGAAAATATATAAATTAAAAATAGTAAAATTATATTTTTTTTCTATGATCTTTTATACAAATATTTTCATTTGAATATTTACAATTCAACTTGTTAAAAAACGATATATAATAAGAACAATTAGGTAAAATATACATTCTAATAATCTTTTATTCGTTTAACCAAAAATTGTAATCTTATATTCCTGCTAAACGAACCAAACACAACAATACAACATTCCTAGTAATGTGTTAGGTAATGTTACATTCCGATAACCCTATTCTCAGAGATAATGCTACATTCTATGAACCAAACGCACCCTCAATGTAATTGTAGTCATAGGTGTTTGTAAGCACTCTATTCTCTTAAAAATATTGGTATTAAATGCTTAAAAAATATTTATTAACTTTAGAGAATGCTTTACAAAGTTTGGGATAGCTTTAACAAATAGCCAAGGCTAATTTATATAACATTCCTTCTCAATAGAACTTTCTATATTTTACATCCACCACCTCCTCTAGAACTTTCTATATTTTACATCTAAATTTTTTTATGTAAATTTAGAATAACCTAGACTTAGAAAATTCTCCATAAGTTTCTAGAATCTTCCATGAGCTTCTATAATATTCCAGAACCTTCCATGATGTTCCAGAACCTTCTATGATGTCTCAAAACCTTCCATGAAGTTTTAGAACATTCTAGAGTAATCTAAAACTTTCCATAATATTCTAGACTCCACCATTATATCCAAATTTCTAGTTAAGTATGAAAATATAGGAGAAGAGATTCAGTTTGTGATATAAAATACCTAATTCAGAGTCACTTGCCTACTTGTCAAACAAGGGCAGCCATTCTCAATGGGACTACGTCCACCTTTAACAGCTGAAATGAAGTAATACCATACTTGGCTCCTTGAGCACCAAAAATGGAGTTCATAGGAATTTCATACAGAATTATTTACCCTTCAAATTTTAACCAAGTAACAAACTAGTCAATGTTATGATGACAGATGATATGACGGTCAATGCAGACGATGATCTCATAAAAATGCAGTTTGAATGATTAATCCCCATGAACAGATATAACCAATATGTTTATAAGTTCTGAATCCCTATCTCAATGACAACAGGAAGCGCAGTGAAATTCAACTTTGCTTCTTGTTCTTGGCAGCCGAATGGGGTAGACCGGGTTCCCAGCCAGGAATGGGCACGCATGGACTTGCACCAGGACAAATCTGGTTTTGCACACCACTAGGCGTGTGCTGCAATTCAGATGGCTCAATAACATTTTTCACTCCTATTTCCGTCTGTGGATTCACAATAGGAGAAACCAGATTGTTGCTTCCAAAACTGTTGTCCAGTCTCGGGTGATGTACGGTAGCAGCAATGCTAGGAACTGGTTGGTGAAATAACTGATTAGTATTTGGCTGCATTGCCACCGAACCTGTGGATGCTTCCACTGGATTGCTAACGAAAGGCATGACTACACTAGGTACATTGGGCCGAGATATACTACAAGGGTTGATCCCAGTCACTCGCTTAACTGTTTCCTCGGCCATCTTCACCTGAAAATTTCAGATAGAACAATCAAACCTGACAACCCAGAAACAAAGTTGCAGAGACCATAATCAACAGTGATTTTTAGCAGGAAGTAAAATAGTTAAAGAACTATAATACTCTTGCTGCAGTTTCAGGCATAAAGATGCATGATTGTGTTTCACAGTTGTCAACACTCCAAACACTGACATTACACAAGAGATCATGTCAGTATCTATTGTATAAATTTAGACAGACATACAAATCATGAACAATTTTAGGTATATGAACGGTTGAACACACCAGAGAAGTAACAGTGTGTCAGTACTGGACATGTCCAGCAGATTCCTGAAATGAAGCACATACAAATCGCCAAAAACCAAATCAATCTCCCTTCCCCAAGAGATTTGCTGATAATATATTCTGCAAGCACGCTTGCAATTAAATCCTTCAATTCTAGATTAAGGAATGTGAATTGCCCATGGCTTTTTAAAAATTTGCCACAGACTAATCTTCAAAAACTTCTGGTGTCAAAACAACATATTCTCCTGTCATTTATTTCGAAGTAAGTTTTAAACTTTCAGGAGGACCACGTATTAACTAACAGAAGAATGAATGAGCAAGTTAAACAAGGATGATAGCTTACCTTTGCTCTTAACGTCTCAATATCAGCCTTCAGAATTCTATTGTCAACAGCAGCTTCATCATACTTGTGATTCATGTCAGTTAGATTCTTGAGTAATGTGGAATGTTCAACTCTTAATTGAGCAACCTAGAAAAATCACTAGCAGAGTAAAAAAAAAAGACCACAAAACAGAGAGTATGAGATCATAAGGGGAAGGGATACTGATGTGGAAAAACCTGTGCTTCAAGTTCATTCATATGTGCTTGCTTTCTTCTTCTAGAGCGTCTAGCTGATTCTCTATTTGACCGCATTCTGAGGCATCACCAAAATATCAATTAGTTGAGGGAAACTTTGTGATGGTGTCAGCAAAATAAAAAGTGAGTTCAGTAAGAATTTATTAATTCACACATCTAGTAGTAAGGTAAGGGATAAGTTTAAGTTCTATTTGCTAAATAAACATATGATTCTTTCCAAGATAACAAATTAAATATTATAGTTAGTACGAGTTTCCCCCCCCCCCCTGAAAGAAGCTATTACTTAAAGATTAAAAGAGAAGACATACAACTTTATTTAGGAAAAGGGAAAAGAGAAAAAGAAAAGAAAACGTGCTAAGAAAAAGATAATAACAAACAGAACAGATAGCATTTCAAACACCTCAAAATCAATAATACAACAAAACAATACAAAAATGGTTACCTCCTTGCACGCTTTGCATCAGCCGGATCCATGTTTTCAGTGGTTTCAGTATCTCCTTCAAGTTCACCATCATCTGAATCTTCTCTTGATGACCCACTTGTGGTTTGCCTCCCTTGTGTCCTTGAATTCTTTTGTGTTGTTGAAACAGCTGAAATACCAGTATCAGGTTCGCCCTGTTCATGTGTCTTTGAGGACCCTACAATGATGAAATTTGTATTAAGAAAATCACCAAGAATAAATTTCAAGTAATTACAGGAAGAGAAGATATCAAATAAAGAGCTCTAGAGTTCTTTAGTATACTGTTTACTGTTCAAATCTTAGAAAATGTAAAGAAAAAGTTGGTTAAAGGTGAAGTGAAGAAAAATGATATACACACAGCACATGTTCTTTGTTTTGTTTGAATACCTACCTAAAGTTAATGTGAAATATTTTTATTAAAATCTAATAAAGAAAGTTACTTCCATTTTTTTGTATCCCTCCATTGTTTTTTTCATTTTCCTTTAGCTCTCTTTAAACACAAGATAAATTGGAGAATTAAGCACATTGCACTCCATGAAAAAATGTAATATTACTATTCTTAAGCATAAGCATGAATGATATATGCATGATGGCCCCTGCAACAGAAAGGATGAAACAAGAATTGTTGGAGTTAACTTAGAAGGGAGCAAACTACAGAAACATTCACGTCATTCACTCTGCCACTAGCAACCCCAACAAGTCAAATTATATGAACTTCATTCAATTCAATCCCATATACACTTGTCTTAGTACTTAGTTCAATATAAAGTTAATGTTTAACGATTCTAACAGCACAAGCTTATAGTTACAAGCAAGACACTGTTAATCACCCAATACTAAAGGCCAACATGACACCAGAACTCTGATCGCTACTAAATTTAAGTAAGTCAGAGACCTTCATCAATCATTAATTCCCAAAATAAAAGTATCACTAAGACGAAAAAAACATATGTTTTAAACAAACTATAGCAGTATAGCTCATTTTGCATCGGATCAAAAACACTTATTACTATTACCAATCGACTTTCATCCAATCTAATTACTGCAAATTCAAAGACAGCCCTGAACTGACTCAAGTTCATAAAATTTTACTAGTTGAACACAATACCGAACATGAAAAATCTATAAAACTGATCAAAGAAATCTATGTTGATTTTTCCTTGTAAAGAAATTTCGCCTGGAGAAACGCAATCAAATTTGGTAAAAAAGATGTCAATAAAAAAGATTAAAACAACAGTAACTGTTCCTTACCTCAGTCTTAAAAAGTTGCATCTGTTGCATAAGAGGGAAAATAGTCGGATCATTAAAAAGAAAGATCAAATCAGAGGCATGATATAGAAAAAGCTTACCTCGAACGTCTGATCCCGATTGAATCGCTTGGTTTTCAGCTTTGCCAGACGAACTTTCCGCCTTCACAGACGACGCCTGGATTTTTTATTTTTTGCAAATATAACATTTCAATTTTAAAAAAATAAACAAAATCCAAATAGAAAATGAATATTAGAGAGAGAGGAATACACGAGAGAGAGCAACGGCAGCGCAGGCTTGATGGAGCTTGTTCTTTAGGATCGCGATGTACTCATCGGAGTCAATCGGGACAATCGGCGTCGAATCAGACGCCGGAGGATTATGATTATTAAGCTCTTTGATCTCCACCACGCTACCATCCCCTTCAACATTTTCAGATTTCGAATCAGACGGCTGAGGTGCCGCGGAGGACGGACCATTCAAATTCTCGCCTGCACGTGACCCCGGGATCGCCACACCCGCACCGGAGAATTCTTCTAGAAACTTCTCCAACGCCCATTCCGATTGGCTTCGGTTCATCCCAGCCGCCGCGCCTGAAGCTGACGCCGCCCAGAGAAGGTCGGAGAAATCGTCAACTGAGAACAAACTATTCATTGTTTTCAGCGAAATCTTAATATTCTTTTTTTTTTCTCACCTTCTATTCTATTTGCAATTTGCAACTCGTGCTTTCTTCCCCTTCCTGTTTTACCATTTATGCGGGAACAAAACAGAAAATATCTACTACTTTGTTGTTTACAAACAAATCCAGTAATAATACGAAACGTGGATAACAACCTGGTCTTTCGTCAACGTGTTAGTTTATTAGTGGGTGATAGGGAAGCTATGGCTGAATATGGAACAGTTGATTTCGCCATGTTAGATCTGTGGGCTAAGGCGGAAAAATAACGTAAGGGGGAAAGATGAGCGGAGCGGAGCCCATGAAAATTGTATGCATTAGGGACAAACTGTGAATGTGGGCCCATTTGTCGGGAATTTTGTCTGGACCTTCCTTACGCTACATTTTTTTTTTTTTGGTTTTGAATTGACCTTACGCTACATTTTAAATTGTGGTAATGAAATTAAAAGTGTAAAGTTAAATTTATAATGTAATATTTTGTTTAACTAAATATATATAAATGATCCATAATTTTATCTAAAAATCATTAAAAAAATATCGATTTGATATCGTTTTTCGAATATTTACTAGAGTAGCACTCGTTCTGACAGTTAGGGGTGTAAACGAGCCGAGTCGAGCTCGAGTATTGTTGAGCTCGACTCGACTCGAAAACTCTGAAATGAAACTCGACTCGAAAACTCGTGAGCTTAAAATTTTCAAGCTCGACTCGAACTCGAAATCCTGAACTAAAGCTCGTGAGCAGCTCGAAAAGGCTCGAAATAAAAAAAAAAGCTTAAACTTAACTCGATTGAAGCCTCAAACTCGAACCTAAACCTTAAATACATGAAAATCTTACTGTATTTTTTAAATCAATACATAAATATTAATATTATTAATAATTTATTTAAAAAAATATTAATATATTATATTTCCAAGTCACTCACGAGATTTTCGAGTCGAATATCAAGAAGCTCATTTCGGCTCGTTAAGAACTCAAGTCAAGCTCCAGCTCGAGTCAAGTCCATTCGATCCGAGTATTTATCAAGCCTTGATCGAGTCGATCTCGAGTAGCTCGCGATCTGTCTCGTCTCATTTACAGCCCTACTGACAGTATAAGGAGGAGGCATGTTTCACTAAATTCGTCTTTCTGATGTGGATAAAAGGAGCGTTGTAAGGGGCGCCCATTCGTTCGACGTGTGCTTCCACGATGGAAGAAGCTAAGCAGAGGACGCACCTTCGTGGGGATTTTTCACCAGCTGGGAGGCGCATTGCAGGGGCGTGCCTTTTCTCTCGCCTACCCCTTCCAGCCTTTTGTTCCAGTCGTTTAACCCTCCCCTCCCACTGTATAAACCCATCCTCATACCTTAACTAATCACACCAATTAATCACCCCTCCCCTATATAAACCCCTCCCCATCTAGGGATGACAGACGTGTATAATTTCGTAGATTTCGTATCGTACTCGCACTAGTTGGAGCAGGAATGAGTATAGGTTTAGTAGGTAGTTGGAGGGTGTGGATGTAAAAAGTCATACCCGTCGTGGGCAGTTCGTAGGTGATGGATTTAAGTCCTTACTCGCCCCACATCCACCTGTTCCGCATCCACCCATCCCAAATCCGTTTGCCCACTAAGTATCTACTATATAAAATTTGGATCATTATAAATTTAGGTATAATTCCAATATTAGTTTGTAAATATTAAGATTTTATAGGACATGACATGTAATTTAACCAAATATTATGGTATAAACATTTTTAAAATTGAAGTATGTTGTTTCTTCTATCTCAAATCGGTTGGTATAGACAGGTACAGACGTGTACGAGATAAGTGGTGGGTATCCATTTAGGTAGTGGGTGTGAGGAGGGAGAATGTACCCGCGTGGGGCAGATGTGGATTTAAAAATTTTACCCGTCATAGATGGTAGGTAGGTGGTGGGTACGAAAATATTAGGTGGGTATGGGGATGGGAGAAGGGGTATCTACACCCGTCTCGCCCGTTTTCCATCTTTATCCCCATCCCTTACAATTTCTTTTAAGTAGGTTTGTTACCGAAATTTTTTTAAAGGTATAAATATATTTTATACTTATTTTTTAGTGAATATTTTTTTATTATTTTATTAATTAATTGTAAAAAAATTTTTGTTATTACCTACAATTTTAAAATGGAAGGCAGGTTGTTGCGATCGGATGCTAATCATATTTCGAGTCATTTTTCCAATATGATAAAAATACTAAACTATGTTATTTTTAAATTTGTGAATATTTTATTTATTTATTTTAAATATTATTTCAAATTTTAATTCGTAGAGTTTATTAATTCAGAAACTGATTATATATTAGAAGTTTTTATTCATAAAAACAAGATGAACACACTGCGTCATATTTGGCAACATTTATCTAGGGCTGGAATCAGTTACGTAGCCCAATTGTTATAGGTTGTAAACTTGAACCCGTCTTCATTTCTGCACTAATCAAGAGGTGAAGTCTAGACACACAGACGTTTCATCCACCATGTGGGGAGTGCACCATTAGCCTGTAGGATGTTTCAATGTATTTGGGGCTCTCGGTAGATGTAAATGTTATTTGTGGTGTAGTGGATGGTAATTGACATTCTCTGTGCATGGAGTATCTTGGAGTTTCCCCGACAGATCTCAACGGTGGCTGAATAATGTTATCGTGGTTGCAATCTAATTTTAAAGAGTTGAACGAAAATTATTCTGATGATGAGGCAAAAGCATTTGCCCGGGCCTACATATTATGAATCATTGGAGGGATATTGATACCCAACAATTCTCACAACCATGTCCATTGTATGTGGTTGTGACACCTCATTGATTTTAAAGTAGCCGACACATTGAGTTGGGCTCTACAGTTTTGGGATTTTTGTTTAGAGAAATGTGTCAAGCAACGAATTATAGTAAAACTGCTATTAGGGGTTGTCTCATTCTTCTCCAATCTTGGACATGGTATCACATGTCTTTTTTATGTCCGATTGTGAATGAGCCATTTGTCTCCCATTCTTATTAAGGTAATTTCAATACTGAATTTATTTATAAATTATTGTGTTGAGTAAAGAACGAAATATATTTTTATATTAAATAGGTGGTCATCAAATACAAAAAGTCATCGTGACATCCCTAATGAATTAGAAGATATCCAATTACTCATTGATCAAAAACTAGTTTAGAGGTACACTTTTAAATTTTAATTTTTTTATTTAATTATATTCATATAGTTAGAATCTTATTTTAATTTTTATAAGAAATATATATTTTTTTTTAGTTCCAATGGTTGCCCTATTTGAACGATGAAATAAGGGGTTGCATCGCACCTAACTTGAGTGGGAAATTGGACGTATGGCTAGAGTTTGTGCCTTTTATTTGTTATGCTATTGTTGAGTGACATCTGACTGACCATATGCTTCGTCAGTTTGGTTTCACATAATATATTCTTGAAGCACGTAGAAATCTCGACAACATGTATTACATTGATAGACGAGGAAAAAAGAGGTTAATTGAGTGGTGAAGCATAGAGATTGGATAGCGATGTGGGAGAACTAGTATCAACACTTTCCCCTCGATAGTAAATGTTAGAAATTGGTTTCTTGATTTCAGATGACTATATTGAACGATTCAACATAAATGGAAAGTCGTTCTTACTTTCAGAGGGAGCACAAATGGGCAATTCATCATCGAGAGAAAAATGTCCTCCGTCATAATATCATCGTCCCCCCACTCGTACACGAAGAGCAGGCGCTTCTGACTCGTCCTTAGCAGTGCCACTTTAAACATCATAACATCCACCATCACCATCGATTATGAGCACCCTATATTACATCCCAAGCATGCAAGTTTACATGGGTACATTATCGGTTCAAATGCCACCGTACGACGTTCAGATGCCACCACTTCCGGTTTATATGGCACAACTGCAAGGTTACGTACAAAGCCCACAAGATTTTATGACACTCCCTGGAGGATATTATACGACCATGCCTATTGATCCAACATTTACTTTATATGTTACTTATCTGACGGGTGGTGCTCCACCGCAAACACCTCCACCTCAGCATGGATCACAAACATCGATGCCAGTTTTTTTCACAGTTTTCGTAGTTTTCATGAGATATGGGATGGTTATTCATACACCTTCATGGTCATTATTCTATGCAAGTTCATCGTCATCATCCATCCCTAATCAACAAGATGTAACTAGTGTCGATGATGATGATGATGAGGAGACTGAAAAGGAAGACCAACCTATAAGAAGAAACCCTCATCGAAATAGACAATCATTGCCCTGTGGAACACATTCAAGAATAAGATATCAATAGAATTTAATTAATTGTAATATTTTTTTTTATTTTTTATTACGTTTTTATATTAAGTTTTTTATTACATCTTTATATTAAGTTTTTTTTATTATGTTTTTATAAACTTAAATGAATTATGCACTCCCCCTTGAACGCGCCTCTCAGCTGGCATAGAATCTCCACGAAGGCGCGTCCCCTGCAGAGCGCCTTTCACTGTGGCAACACATGTCGGAAAAAGGTGCGCCCTTTGCAACGCGCTTTCCCTCCACATCAGCAAGGCATGTTTCGTGAAACACGCTTCCCCCCTTATATTGTCAGAAAGGGTGCTACTCTGGTAAATATTCGGGAAATGATGCCAAATCAGTGTTTTTTTGTACTTTTTAGATAAAATTGCCAAAATGATCGTATATGTTTTTCCTTGAAGGTGTTATACTAAATTTTATGGTGGTGAATTTTGTGTTGTAGTTGAAAGAGTAATTTGGATTTTATAAAATTAATATTACGGTAGTTACACTATCGTAGAAAATAATTTTGAATACTAATACGGATTCTTTTGGGGTTATGGTTCACGCTATTTGAAATTATATGACTCGACACAAATCTTGCAATCTTGGTAATAAATGAATTGATACTATTTTTTGAAGTTTCGAGTCCTAGTACTATGAATATCAAGGAATGAGTATTTAATGTCAAGTGATTGAAAGTCATATTTTGAACATATATTATCTTATACTTACTCCAGATTCATAAAAAAAATTAT